ATGCTTCTAATGTAAGCGTCTAAAGGTTGTTGCTTGTTCATCCTAATATCTTTAATTAACTCAAATTCATTGTTGCGACTTTCGTAACGAAAGTAACGGAAAATTTGCGCTCCGGGTGGCTGTTTTTTCTTCAGACAAATATCGACTTTTTAAATAGTGTTTGAAACTAATTGTTTTTTTATCAATCAAAATGTATTGTTGTCCTGAGCTTGAAAAGATATTTCATTAAAAATAGATTTCATATTTGAAAAAGAATTTTAATTGCCATTTTGGACAATTTGGGACAATTAACAGGCGATATGTTTCCCCAAGTCCATCAGTCTTTGATATATTTGAAAATTTTTGAAGAATCTTGGTTAACTTTTGTAGAAAATTTTGGCTGTCTTGGCAAGTTCTTGCAAAAGAACCTTGGAAGATATCAAAGATTCTTCAAGAAGTTTCAAAGAATCATGAAGAAAAAAACAAAGATAGCAAAGATTTTTTCAAATAATTTTGACGATTTGCAAGGAAAATGGGTGATGTTACATTCAGGATTTTCCAAGTTTTGTCAATTGAAGATAATTCTAAAATTTTCTGTAAATTTTTTTAAACAATTCTACAGATTCTCGGTTTTATAACTCAATTGTAAATTAGACTAATTATAATTTTAAAAAAGTCAAATAAAATTATAAATTGAAATTGCACAATGAATTTCCAAAAATATCAATGAAATTTTACGCATAACTAATAATCATCAGAATAAAATCAGAGTAAAATATTTCAAAATTTTCTAATGATTATCAGCCTTGAAGCAATTTTAGGCAAACAGATTCAGATAAAATAATTTCTGTCGCAAAACTAAGCGCCTATGAATCAAAGAAAAGAACAAAAATTTATCAGTTTTTAGTCTAGAAAATTTTGCAAAATTATAAATATTCACGATTAAAAACTTTAAAAAATTCGATGGAGAAAAAATTAGAAACTATAAATGATTTCTAGTTCAATGGATAATTAGGACAACCAACGAAAACATTAAAGGAATCAATTAAAGGTTTGGGGTGAAAATGTAAGAAATATCGAACAGCCTCAATTTGAGTTTTAGCGAAAATTGAGTTTTTTCAAAAAATTTCGAAAGCAATTTCAGGCAATCAACTGTAACTTTTTATGAATCAATTCGTTTCTTATCTTATGGAAAACTTCTTTTTGATTGATTGCCCAAAACTGATTTTGAACTGATGTTTGAAATTTTTAAGTATCTCTTATTTCGGAAAATATTTTGATACATTGTTATGTTGATCCACTTTCTGACATGACATTAATTTGCAGGTTTATTTGCACTATTATAGAAAAAAGATTTTCATTCTGACAACTCTAAAATATTAAAAACATTAACTATTAAAAAAACTTAACATAAATGCAATAATAATTTAGAACATTCGAAAACCTTATAGAGAGAAAGCGTAGCTTTGCATCATTTCCAAAACAGAACAAGCGTAGCTTCAACAAAAATAGTGAATAAAAACAACGATTTTTTTTGGAGAAAAAAAGATATTTTAATTTCAGAAAAAAAAACATTGTGGAAAAAGACAGCTAGAAAAAAAACAAAGACGTGAAGCAGAGATTTGCATCACTTGCTATACAACGAAAGCGTAGCATAGCAAGCTACCAGTAGATAGTGTGAGACAAATGACCAAGTAAAAAAAACTTGAAAAAAAAAATCATTTGTCCACTGACTAGTTTTATGAGCGTCTTGAATAGCTTATTTTCTTCTTTTTGTTTTCTTAATACCAATTGTTAACGATTGGTTGACAGATTTTATATATATAATTTTTAGTTTTAAAAAATGCTAGTCATAAAGTTCCCATAGTATGAAAACTTTATGACCAGCCTGTTTTCTAGAAAAAAAACTCAATTTCTTAAAATTTGGAGTTTGGAGATTATCTTTTGACCACTGATTATTTCAATGAACTTCCTTGCCAATCGATTTTTTTTGGTTTTTGCAATACAAATTGATTTTTGTTATTTTCAAAAAATTCTATGGGAACTGTATGAATAGCATTTGTTCAAGAAAAAAAAGACATTTTAAAATTTTTTTTTGTCTGTTTCAACAAGTTTGAAGATTAACGTATGACAGCTGTCTAGTTTTATGAGCTTTATAACCAACTTAGTTTCTTCATTTTTCTCAATACAAATTGTTTTTTTTTTGTTTCAAAAAAGCTAGTCATACAGTTCAAATAATATGGGAACTATATGACTAGCATTTTTTCATAGAGAAATTGTATGGAACTGTATGACTAGCATTTTTTGTTGTACTTGGCGGTCAACCCGGGGATTTGATAACGATTTTAATGACGATTTGATAACCGATTTGTGAACGTTTTTTTAAAATTCCGATTTGATAATGATTTGATAACACTTCCGATTTGTTAACTTCCGATTTTTTAACGATTTCGATTTGATAACGATTTGATAACAATTTGATAACGCTATTTGATTCCGATTTGACACCATTTTGACAACGATTTGATAAAGCTTCCGATTTGATAACAAAAAAGTCTATATTCCGATTTTATAACGAACTTTTCTTTGATATCTTTAAAGATTTTATGTTGAAGAATCTTCGCAAAATCTTGAAGAATCTTGAAGATCTTTTCATGACTGCACGAAAAATCAAACTCCTCTGTTGAGCTGCCGGAGCAATCATACATGTTTCTGAGGTCCTATTCATGTAGTTTGAACGCTTAGGTACCTTGGAAAAAGCCGAACTATTTCAAATCTTTTTTGCTCTCTTTGATAAATCTTCAAGAGTCTTCAAGATCTTGGCAAGATTTTCAATGTGACTGGACTTGCGCCGCGCTATTAACGCATAACTCGAGATTTAATCAGTCTTAGAAATCGTTCCAAATTGGTTGACAGAAGCTTTTATGCCACAATTGGTTTGTTACTAAGAGCGAAATCTATCACTTTGTACTTTATTTGGCGTGTGGGGGGATAATTTCACAAAAAATTTTAAATAAAAAAAGTTGTTTCTCTTTTTCGTTTTAATTTATTAAATTTACTTTTTTTCTGTTACTTCTGCTCAAGAGACCTTAAAAGGCAGGCAGAAAATTCAGAGGTTTGTCCTGATACGAGCAGTCTCATTGTAAATTCTATCACAGTTCTGCTTGTGTTGACCCACGTGATTCCACTTTTTCATGTTCACTGTTAGCATTGTTTTTTGCAGGTCGAGCAACATCAACTATTTATCAGTGTTTTGTATCTGTTTTTTTTATTCCAGTTCACTTGCGAAGAATACCTTTAACAAAGTCAAATAATAAATAATAATTGTAGTTCCTGCGAATCGCAGAGGAGCTATCAGTAGGCCTTAACATCCCTGTCGAGTATAGTCCATTTGTATTATCTCCCCACATTCCAGACAGCGTTATTTTGCTGAGGGAAGCTGTTTTTTGCGACTCAAGGCCGTTTTTTTTGCGTCTAGAACTTTTACGTGGTACCACTATTGCAGCCAAATTTGGTCAGGTTGTGGTAGACCTGAAGCTAGAGGTCAATTGAGAGCTTGTCCTCACACACTATCATTGCCATGGCATGGGATCGAATACACGATCTGACGATTTCAAAGTGAACGCCTTACCACTGTGCAAAGTGCCTCTATATATGACTTATCGGGTCTTATGCACTAAACGGCCCAATTTCATTATTTTTACATCTCCTGAACTGAAATTATTGTTGATGAATTTGATTGGCATCGACATTTTCTGCGATTTCAAGTGAAATTTTAGCCAGATAAAATTATTAGCCGAAATGATAAAGAAAATTAAATTTTGTTTTGTCGAGCCATTTTACTGAATTTTGCTTGTCTGGGCAAGGTTTCGCAAGTGACTCAAAATTAATTTGATAATTTGACTCAGAGTTCCAACTTTTCGACAAATTCGGCTAATATTTTTATCTGCTAGAAAAGTTGATCGGAATGCCTGACCGTGTAACTTGAATTTGATTGGCTAAAATTACTCAACAAATTTGATTGCATAATTTTCAGCTTACGATGTAGAAAAAATGATTTTGGGCCGTTTAGTGCATAAGACCCGACTTATCTAAAAGTGGGAATATTTGCCACAGCTATTTTGCCCAGCTTAAATTCCAAGAACTGTGATGAATTGCAACGATATTTTTCTGTTGGAAAGAGGTGTGTGAGTTTCTTTGATGTTTGTTCTTTTTCTGAAAAAACGTCACTTCAATAATTTACTTGTCGATGTTTTTGCTAAAAGCTCTGAAAGGCAGCCCAACTGGCTGTTTCGGTGTTTTGGATTTTTGTTCAAACGTTTTCGTTACCTCCAAAACAGTGTTCAATCTTTTCTATGTGAAGATACTTTTAGGCAACCGGATGACTTTTCCCTCAATCGCAATCAATGTGTGCAGCAAAAGGTCGCAAGTTCACCCCTAGTATTGTACCGGGGTTGGTGCGTGTTCGGTAACTAAACAATTATGATCTTTTTTCAAGAGTCCACAATTATGTTGTGAGTTACCCTTCTGTTCGGGTTTTTCAAATTGAACCTAAACAATGCGTGCAATCCATTTGCTTCATGTAGTTGTTATCTCTTTTCACTGTTTTAACATTGTCATCTGCATATCTCATTGTTCTGACCATTGAAAACGGGGAAAAACTTGAATTACAAGATTCTTGGCCTTATCGATTGAATTCTGTGGCCTTGTCGATTGAATCGTTTTTTTTTGAATTGTTATCAAAGTAATCCAGTCGTCAACTAGTGTGGCAATTGCACGGACAATTTTTGTCGGGGAACCTAAACTCTTGGTTAACATTTGCTTTTTTGACTTTTTTCCTGAACATAAAATGTGTGGGTTACAAATGTCCAGATAGGTGCAGGCACTATTAATAACTGAGGTTTCGCAAATTGGAGGTATCAACATTTTTTTCTGTGACTGAGGTTGTTGATATTTTTCCTTGATCAGAGACATGACAAAAAATTAAGCAAAAGCTGATTTTGATTATTACTTCCTATCTGATAACTCAATTATTGTAAAGCATTTAAGTATTTATGGTTATTTTACAAAATTTGACTCTCCTACGCAATTTTTATTTACAAAATGTACAGTTTTAATTGTTTTAGAACTTCACAGTGCAGTAAAAATTTTACCGCTTAGACTTGTTTTTCAACTACCCATAAACACCAGCTTAGCTATTTTTATACAAAAATGAAATGTTAATAGTGACAACTGTTATGTGCGTGTCATTGGAACAACTTTGAAATGGCCGCAGAGATCAGTACTGTTGCCCAGAAAGCGGTCCTTTTTCCTGAAACAAATAAAATATTGTTTTGAGTAGGTGCGCAAAATATTAAATATTTAAATTTGCATGAAGTTTGTCGAAAGTTGAATAGAAAATCTAAAACTGCAATTCACTTTTATTAGCAATTGATTTCGGGGTCAAAAATATAGGCAAGAACCTGTACGTATCGTCCATTTTGGACAGAACTAGGGGAAAACTGAGCTGTATTCGGTGTATCAACGAAGGATCAATTTTCACGAAGGAACGGAATAACTTGTGAGCAGTTCAACTCATTAAGGACCGACATTTCCACACACTTCTGATTAACTCCCACACCCACTTCCTTAACTTTTCAAGGAAAAAAGCTCTAGAGTAAGTCTCTGGTGATTTTTGAACCGTGGCTTGATTTTGATCAAAAAATGGGAAAAAACTAGTTCCATGGAAAGATTTGATCAACTAGAAGTAAAGTGGGCTGGCTAGCCTGCAGCACTGAGCATGAACTCATCTTCCCATTCTTCGTTCTCTCCAACACACGACTGGAAAGAGCAGAGCTGTACAGAGATGGTGTAAGTGGAGCCGGCTGTCAGTCCACTCAGGGTATACACGCAAGTGTAGATGAGTGAGTCATCACTAAGATTGCAGTCGGAACCATCGAATTGGCCACTGGTGACGGTGGAAGTACTCATTTGTTCCAGCTGGGAACAGGAATAACTTCTCAATACAAACTATTTCTAATCGGGAACTTTTTTTTTTAGAATGGAAGTTCTGGACGGAAAATTTGAAAATTCATTTTATGAATCTTGTTAGTCTTATGACGAAATAAGTTGTATGAACAGATGGTCTTATTAGCAGTCAGCAGTTAAACTATTGACGAAAAAGATCCCTGAAAATTCCTGGATTGGACGGTGATATGCGGAGTGAGTAAATTTTGAAGATGTGCGATACCTGGTACTGGAATGCGAGTTGTGGTATGATTGGAATCTCGTCGGCCACAATGGTCACTTCACACTCAGACTCAGACATGTCCTCACAGTCGGTAGTCACATTCACCAGATAAACTTCTTCTGGAACAACTAAGATATAAAAACAAAAACACCAATTAAAATGATTCTTTCTCAATCTGGAACAATTTTTTTTTCAAATCCCAACTGGAAGCATAATAACTCTTTTCTCTCAATCGGGAAAACATATAAAAGACGTCTATGACTAAAAATCAGCTTGAAAATAACTCATGGGAGTAAATAAAGTCTCGATAGAGTGCCCCCTTTCTTTCTCCATTTAAAAATTTCCTGATTGTGAAAAATCTTGTCTTACCTTTATTTTCTTAGGTAGGAAAAGAAACACTGCGGCTTAGTTACCATTGGTCCATACCTGCAAGATTGTACTCCGCAGAAAGTGGGGCACTGATTTCAGAGTAAGGTGTGCCCATCACGTCCACTGCAGTCTTTAGGGAGAACTCCAGCAGAACCGGATCCGAATCACTGCTTGCTGACGAAATGTCCAGGCAGTGCACCCCCACAGAAAGCTGGCAACAAATTCAAATAATAAAGTGACGCTAATTAACTTTTGATGCAAAGGTTTACAGACACAGCAGTCACTGCCATCAATTTTCATGAAGCTTACAAACAGATTTTGAATTCGGTGTGATTTTTAGCAAAGATCTGAAAAATTTGAGTTCTGTTGGACAAACTAGCAACTTCAAAGCACGATTTTTGAGAAACAGATTTTTGACAAACACGCAAAATTGACTGTGATGGCGTGATGGTGTCTAAAATATCAAAAACCAAGCCAGTAGCGTACCGAGGGGGCACCGCCATCCCCCTCAATTCTGGTTGCCAAATTTTTCCAATTTTGAGGTTGGTCAGCCAAAAGTGGATTTCGCAAAGTTATACCAAAGGGGGTTCTGTTGGTCAAATCAGTTATAACTTTACGACATCCTTTTGGTATATTTTTACGACATCCATTTTTGGCTGACCAACCTCTAAACTTTTCTAAAAGCGCCTTTGGCGCCAAAATAATTAATTTTGAGGGGCGAGTGCGTGCCCGAAAAACTCGATTTTTTGGTCAAAATTTACCAAAAAACCTAAAAACGCCTTTTTTGGCCTGTTTTTGAAAAATTTGCCGGCGGCGCAGAAAATTTTCGACAAAATAAGATGCTTATAGTATTTTCGGAGAGCTCTAAAAAAAGACCGCAAAGTTTTCAACATCCCCCCCCCCCCCCCCCTAGAAAAATATTTCTGCTGCGCATTCCACTGCAAAACCATTGATATTTTTGTCAAGAGCTTTTTCACTTCGGATTTTTGTAATTTTTTTAAATAATCCAATTTATAAATGATCAGAACATGAACATGTTTCAGTGACAATGGACATTTCGTTTTGAGCCCACTGCTGCTCGGGTATGGCTATCTCGGGTAACGGCTTTGTTAAATGTTTCAAAAAGTTTTTTTTCGTATTCTTGGCCATTTGTTCCGGCGTATCGTTCTTGGCTCATCGCTCAAAGGACTTAAGCATGACTTGAACTTAAACACTACATACATGTCCAACAGGCACGTCGCCAGAAGTGACCACTTCACTGCCACTCTGAATCACCGTGAACTGTACAAAGTTGTAGCTGTTGTCAGAGCTGTCCGCTTGCCACCACACACAGAAGGGGGCCACAGTGCCATTCTTGAAGAAGGCTGTCGGCTGCAAGGTGGGGGCAGGAAGAGCTAAAATCAAATTTCAAAAAAAAAGATTCATACTCACAATTGACTAGGTTCACGACAGGTTAAAATATGACCAACCTATACCTATAAGACCCACAAGAGACCCTTGGAAGGACTCGTTAAATAATCATAGATAAATGACTAATAACAAAAAAAAATCTATTAAAGTTTCGGTCAATTATTAGGATAAGAGTTTCAGGTTACACTTCAGGCAGGTTTGTCAATCCAAATCAAAGGTATGTGCAGTTAAGTACAAGGCGAAGACTGATAAAGGATTAGGAGAAGTTATAGGTTTCTCAAAGGTTTAGTGAACAACAGACTTCATTGCTCGATTGATGCAAATGGAATGCTTGAAGTGTTCTATGGATTGTATTATCAAGCCGTTAACAAATGTATTCCAAAGAAGGCAATTTATCGCTCTGAAGCCCCCCATTCGATGTCATTACACCCAACAAATGCTGAAAATTGTCTTTAGACGGCATTGAAACATAATTATTCTGACGAGAAAGTTAAACGCTGCAAGCAAGAATTGAATGATTCATTAGACCAGGACAAAGCCGTTTACTTTGAGTCAATCAAAGACTTCGATTTAAAAATAACTGACAAACTTCTCAAAGCGATTAATGGAAAGGCAAAAGTACCCAAGAAAATGTCATACAAAAATACCAGGTCATGCTCTGATTTTGCAATATGTTAGGCTTTTAATGAGTTTTTTTGCATCTGTGTACAAAATAGACAGCGCACCATTGAATGTTCCAAGCGAAAATTTTCCTCCATGAATAAACTTATCAGATATTTTCCCTTCGCAATGCAAAATTCTCAACGAACTGATTAAATGCAAATCAGGAACAAATTCAACTGATGTATATCTCCTAACATATTAACTTTCGTTTTACAGTTCTGCTTGAATGATATTGTTGAACTGTTCATGTGCATAGTCAGTAAAAAACAGTTTCCAGATATCTCAAAAACAGCAGACATGAATACTTTACATAAAAAGTTTCTCGTACAAACATTAAAAATTACAGGCCCATTTCAATACTTCTTGCGCTCGCCCTTGTTTTTGAACGAGTTTTATATAATAAGATAAAAGGGTTCACTCAAAGAAATTTGCGTGAAAACCAACTTGTAATTAGAAAACATCATTCGGCTGTGACAAAACCTAATTTTGTACTGTTATATTGTATATAAGAATTCTGTTATGTTGTATGTAAGAAATTAGAACAAAGAGAACTACCTGTCACGCTATTTTAGATGTTGCAAAAACTTTCGACTCTATTGGCCATAACATCATTTCATACAATACAAGTTTGTCAAAATAGGCTTCGACCATGAGTTTCTTCAGTTTTTGCATCTTATCTCACAAACAGAAAACAAATAGGTTTTATTTGTATTACATTGTCTCATTCCCCAATATAACAAGTGGTGGTTCACAGAGATCAGTTTTTGCACTGTTCTTGTTTTCTTTATATAAAACGATATGCCAGAAATTATTGACAACCGCTCCTATTTATATGCTGATGATACAAAAAATTTTGGAAATGGGTTTGACCTTTCTTCGATTCAAACAGATTTAAGCAATGTACTAATCTGGGCAGCAAAAACAGAATTGAATTCAATTTCGACAAGTTTGACTAAATTAGAAAACAAAAACCGAAATAAACGATACCCTTTCAGCGATATTTCACTTTTTGATGGAGAACAAATAGTTTTAAAAGACACGGTGAAAGACTTTGGTGTTTGGTGCAATTTCAAAATGTCATGGATATAACACATCAACGAAAGGCTTAAGACAGCAAACATGCAATTTAATTACATCAGAAGCTCTGTTCGGGTTTCGCTTTATAAAAGTTGCATACTATCAATAACTTTTTATGTATCTACAGTTTGCTTTGCGACTAAATACCAATAAAAGCGATTAGAAAAATTTCAAAGACGATGCTTAAAACAGTGTTACAAAAAACATGAATTGAATCATGAGGATTATGTTTTCCACTTGAATAAAAGCAAACTGTTGCTAATTTCCCTGACGTTATCTAAAAACCATTTGAATTTGCTGAATAACATTGCTAATAACAAGTTTCCGATAATTTTTCTTAGTTTTGAGACAATCGACAATGGCCCTGATTCAAACCGAATGGAAAACAAGACGTTTTGAGTATGCCACTGAAAACATGTCAACCACCCTCGCGTTATCAAACAATTTACCTGGCTGTGATCTTTTTCAAGAACCTGAAAATTTTAGAAAGAGTTTGAACCTATTAATGTTTGACAAACTACAAACATTTAAAAACTAGAATCATCCAGAGTCTTGGTTTTTAAATTTGTTTTACTAATTTTGTTATCAATGACTAAGACCAGCTAATCCACGCCTTGCCGGCCTAATTCAATCTTATGGTTATATTTGATATTGAATTTAGAGCGATCAGTAGCCAGTCTACTCCCAAATCTACGGCGAGGCAGCTCAACCTAAGAACACTTAGTCCTTATACAGCTTCAACCGGATGCAGCGGAAAACTCTGAAAAAACCGTACATTTGCATGATAAAATTGCGAAAAATAGCAGACTGCTCCTGTTAAATACTTCTGTCAATTTCTTGGTGCTAGTTAAACCTCAAACAAGTTACTTTGAATAAAGGCACATTTTGAGATCAAAACATCGTTTGGCTGCAAGCAGTTTAAGCATTCCAAGAAATCGAGAACGCTAGGCAATTGGTTTTTTTTTCGCAAAGATGTGAATTGACTTTGGCAATATTCTATTGAATGACCATCGCAAATTATTTCGATCCGTACTTTTTGGCCGTTTTCAGCGTTTTTTCATTATACTGATAGATCTACATAACAGGTAATTTTTGTTGGGAAAAATTGGTACTTTTTCAATTTGTTTAGACGCCTGCTTAAAACTAAACAAGGGTAGCCTAGCCGTTGATGAGCGTTTAGCATTAAACTCTCTGATCAGACTAATTAGAACAGCCAGAAAAATTTCTCTTTTTCAAGTTGTGTCGCTTCTTGTGTTCGATTTTATGGTCGCACCGATCTCAAAAAAAGAGAAAGAAGGTTGAAAAAATTCTACGTTAGTCACTCGAAAAAATTTTAGTTTCAAAAACATTTTAATTGATCATAAGGTCAGCATTTTATAGCCTGAAATTCAAAGCAAGTACTCAAAACAAATGTAATTGTCATTGAGACAAATTGCTTTTTTTTGAAGGTCAAACTAAACCAAGTCTAACCAAAACAGAGAGGAAAACGAGTAAAATAAGGCATCAACCCCAAATTTTTTTCTCATTTCAAAACAAGGGTATGTGCGGGGCTTAAACCTAAGTCAAACACATCAACCAATTTTTTAGCATTTGGTTTCGCCCACTTGGTCAACTGGTCTTTGTTTCCAGCCTTTACCAGAGACGAAGGAGCCAGAGCGAGCTGTCCTAACAAGGTGAAACGTGCACATCATCTTTCATATTACTTAATTTAACGATACATGCGAGAATGTAATTGCCTCGCGGTCTGCCGGGTTCAATAAATCATACAGCATTCTCCGTTCTGACAATTAGTTTTCCACTTTGCACGCATAAAAGAGCATAAGTAAAGGAGCATAAACTTGTATCTAACGCGACCAGGTATCGTCAGACTACAACTGCGCACGAGCAAACCTCTCTTAGGATCAAAGTGTTCCCTGAATAGAGCAGAGGAAAACTTGCAGCGTACTGCTCAAGCAAAAAAAATGAAAATTTACGCTTGTAAATCACGTGAAGTGGTAGTTACTGAAGTGATGGGATTGGCGTTCAAAGCCTGCTCAACTAAGCAGAGTGTTGCTCCTAGCAAAACTTCCAAATCCCGCCTGCTGCCTAGTTTGTCAAGGAGCACACGCTTAACGCTGAGGACGAGGCGCTCCGAAGAGCCACCTTGGTGTGCTGCACTGGCTGGACATAATTTTCAGACAATGCCTTTATGCATAAAGACGGTTGGCTTCGTCTGGTTCCAGTTTTGATACAGGCTACCAATTAGTTCTTTTTCTGTGCCGACGTTTTTGGCTCCGTTATTGGACGCAATGAAACGTTTTATACCCATCACACATGAGCTGGTGTGTTATGATGGCTTAACCACGAGGTGTACAGCCCTGGCTGTGCGTTAAATAAAAAAACGCACTTTTACTCAGTGCTCCCTCAATTGGAAACGTAATATGGTCAAAATATTCCAAGCTTGTTAAGGCAGATGGCATTTGCTTAAAGCAAAGGAAATTGACAGATCTATCGTCCAAAAATGGCTTGACTGTAATTATTCTCCGCTTTCGACATGTAACGCAATGGTTTTCAGTAGACTTCAGAAGTCGACGCAACCCGAAATAGCGTATTTTAAGTTTATCACTGAGCGCATACGGTCAGACTTGTGATGAAAATGATCAAGATAGACGTTTTGAGCCAGCAATCGAACTTTTTTTGCCGGTCATAAGTCAAAATGGGGTGTTTAGCATCAAACCTGATGTCAAATAAACGTCCTATGCAGCCATTAGACGGTAAGATACCACCGCGAGTCAACAAAGAGGATAACGTCGTTTTGTTGTTGCAGCTTTTAATGGATTTTCAGGAAGTAATTTGTTTCATTTCAACGGGAATTAAGGTAATTTGAGCAAGGTGTACAAGCTTCTTTTCCACAAAATCTAGCTCGAAAAGATATGTGATCTCAGTAGTAGTACCGCAAAATTATGCATGTGAGGGCAGCACCCCTAACATACAAGCAGTCTTAACGTCTTTTGCCAGTCAAATTCATCGTCAGGAAAATTTACTTACGCAACATCGCTGACACAATAGATTGTGCCTCCAAACAAAAATCGACATCGCATGAGGGACTTTTTGACCGAATTTTATGGATGACTCCATGATTGCGTTTAAAAGGCAAATTGGCAGTACTAAGAATGCTCGGCCAAATAACCCAGCTGCTATCTATGAGAACTTCCGCAAAGATCCCCTGTGCATTGGTGTCAGCTGGGTTATCGCCGCTCAGGATATGGTGTCGCGCATCAAGTGTAGTAGATTCGAGCATTCCGCCGACGCAGTTACCAACAAAAACAGCAACGTATCATTCGAGTTGAGCTACTGCAAATCGTGATGCTATCTATCCACAATAAAAATTTTTCACTTGAACTGTGATTGCCTACACCAATCTTTTTTTCAATCATGTGGCGTATAGAACAACTTCAGTAGAAATAACGCTTTCTTTGGCACAACACGCGCTATACCAAAGATAAATAGATTTGAGTTTCGCGCAAGCTTGTGAGTTGCACTCGCAAAAACCCAACCGCGCGGAAGACTTCTTGGAAAGTATCATTGAACAATTGAAGCAGAATAGAATCCACAGGTTCTCTGAAGTCATTGTGGGGAATTGATAGTTGTCCTCACAGAAAGAGGCTGGATTAAACCTTTCGATAAATCATTGTATCATTTTTGACCCCTTATCCTCCGAATTTGTTTTTTTTTATAAAAGTTGAGCCGTAACTTTGTACGGGGCTAGTAAACCAATAGGACAAAACGTCATCAAAATGATCAAGCCACAGATCTCAAAATAATTCGTTTTCCGCCTTAACCAGACGGTTATTGACACGTCGGCTCACAACCAATGTGTGATACACACGATCCAATTTAAGACCTAAAACGTGCGACTGACAATTGTTCATTCTAACATGATTTTAACAATTGAAGGTTTCTCACTGACTTTAGTGTTCATTGCCACTGTTATCTCTTCAACATTACAGAAAAACAAAGCATAAAAATTGTCGAATCAAAACCGTACAATTATACATCTTGAACGAAATGCGACTAATTCCAAATGTTTGCTCAATGGCTTCAAGCGAGACTCAGTAATTTTCCCAATAAAACTTTTCGGTAACCATGCTTCTTCAGGGTTTGCGAAATAGCTATCTTTTATCGTTTTCGAGCTTGTCGGCTATTCGCATTCGCCGCAGATATGGTGAGTGTACTAATGGCCAACCCTGTCTGGGGTGAAAACCTCCCACCAAAAAAAACGAAGCATTTGATCTCGGCCGAGGACTCCTACTTGGAGGAACATAACCTCGATATCCGCGGTGATGGCCTTATTTGTGCTCTCTGATGTGCAATAATACGAATATCTGGTTTTCGAGTAGTTTCTGAACCACCAATTGAAATTGATTCAAGGATGTACCGTGAAACTTAGCAACCCTGTTAAGTAAGCAGCGCTCTTCAACGGCCTATTTGATTTTAAAACTGGTTGGTTGGAAAGAGGTCACACGCCATTTGTTCACGCTCATGGAACATGCGGCTCGACATGAGCTTGCCTGATGCCCTGACTCCTTGTATCTTTCACGCATTGTTTCTGAAATGAGCGTGATTATCTGCGGCGAAGTGGGAAGAGACTAGCTTAAAGGCCTCATAAGGATCACCTATTGAAACAACCGTACGCTAGGTGGAAAGAACATGGTGAGTTACAAATTTTTCATTAGAGGAATTCAACCCGTCGAACGGCGTGGTAGTAACCTAGTCCTTAGATATTTTTCATTTTTTCTTAGTCGCCCTGTAAGGCCATTATAGCAATATATATCTTGCAGCTCATGTTTTTCAATGCGTTTTGTACCAATAAGAAGGTTGTCTTTCACATAAATCTCCATAATTTAGGACCTAGACTAGCTAAATTTGGCTTAGACTAGACCTTAGGTTTGACTGGCTGAAATTTATGGCATTGGAACTACTGATGAATAAGTTGACTCACCAATCAATTTGAAGCAGCTAGCGAGAGATACTGATAACCAAGAAAGTGTGGATGTTCCGTCATAAAAACCAACTTCAAGAAACTTGTGCAATTCAAAATAAACTAACTGAACGTAGCGCATGTTCGTTTTTTTGAAAGTAGCTTGAGACCAAAGTCATGCATTTTTTGTACAGCTGACACGGCGGAAAGCTAGCCTTGCTCTTGTATTTGCTATTGCTCATTGCGCTTGATACAATTGTGGTTACCGGCTCATTATTTGCTTGCATTTGGGTTTGAAAAAATAGCGAGCAAACTTTCGTGCTTTCCGCCTTCACCTTTAACCAATTCATGAAATCTAAAAGTCTAAGATGCCGCTGTTTTGCTTAACAGTATGCGTTGAGAAGGCTTCGTTCAAATTCGGCGGAGGCTTGCTGACAGCTTGGTTCAAAAAAGTCACAATTTTAAGATCATCGTGAATTGACACAGTTTTAAAGACTGCAATCAGCCGTGAAACAGCGGAAGGGAGGCAACTGAGATTCTCTGAACTATTCGTTTGAAAGGAGGAGAGTTGGCTAACTTATCCAATTGAGCTTCGACAGCAGTATTAAGCTCGCCATACAAATGTTTCAGCAGGGTAGCAATTTCATTGCTGTTAAAACCTCCCCTTTAACCGTATTCGTCGATAGCTGCTTTAGCTACGAGATTAAAAGCGTCTTTAGGTAAGTTAGTTTTTTGTCACTCAGAAGTCCGCAGTCAAGTTTTGGCTTAAAGTATCCAAACTGTTCGTGCCAGTTCAGAACACTTTGGAACTTTTTTTTCGATAACTAGTTCGACTTGAGTAAAACTTAGTAATATTTAGTTTATAAAATAAGTTTTAAGTTATTAAAAGCATGCTCGGTCGATTTACTCGCTCGAACATGGACAAAAAATCAGTAAATTCAAACCGGTTTTCTCTACACTGCAAAAACCGTTGAAGGACTTCAATTTGATTATAACTCGACTCATTGCATGATTATTTGTGGTACCTGACATTGCTTGGAAAACAAAATAAAAAAAAACAAATCAAACACCCGAATACAAAGTTCCTCTCCGTTTTCAATATTGGGAACAAAAAATGGCTGCAAAAATTTGGTTCCATTCCTCCAAAGAGATTTTTTTCTCGGTGCAATTTACTGTCTTACAATTTTGTTCAGGTAGTCTGACACTCTAAGTTAGGTATAAGAACTCTAGGTTATAAGAATGGTAAATGATAGCACATCGTATGACTAAAAATTTTATAATTTTTTTCTACTTGTCTTGAATTTTTGGGTACAAAATTGTTGTTGTATGGTCTTTCCCCATTTATAAATGAAAGCCATAGGGAAATTATAAAATAGTGCTGGAATATTCAACGAAATCTAAAAAGATAGTCTCAAAAAATCATTGAGCATCATTGAGAACCGTAAGCCGAAAAGAAAATAATAAACGTACCATTCCAACATTTTAATGTTTTGTACAGTTATAATTTTCTCGGACACGTAATAAAACGTCGGAAGCCGGCAGCTTACGAGTGATGAAGTAGTTCAGCACATGTGAGCTGTTCTCCCCACACGCATTGAGAGTAGCAGCTGAGAACTCATACACAGCCCCGTACTTGGGCATCTCGTTTGATGCACTCTGTGTGTCAGGCTGATTAATAGAAATGTCGAATTTGGCGTCGTTGGTTCCGAACTCCGAGTACTGTACGAGAATGGAGGTGTAGCCAGAGTGTGCCGGGATAGTCACGGAGACGTCCACTGACTTGTCAGAAGGACTAGGCGATGTCTCAACGACCGATATGCTATTGGGTGGCAAAGTTTCTAAATATTTAAGAGGCTTTTATAAAGTTGTTGGCTCGTGTAACAAACCTTGAACATTGTATAGTTTAGGGGTAGATTTTGGGAGGAAGGGCTTGGAGGCTTCCGCCCTTTTTTTTGGCGATTCGACGGATCAATTGAGCAATCTCGCGTGGGGGAGGGGAGATAGCTCGCTAGGTACTTGATACATTTACATTCAGAGTACACTCACATGTACACTCAAAAAGTGAAAAAAGAATCAATCAAACTGAGGCACATAGAGCGAAGTTTTTCTGCCCTAAGTAGAAAAAAAGCTATTGCGTACATTATTACGGCGCTGCGGAGAACAGTTTTTGGTATTCATAAACAAGGCTACCGGTCTAACCCTGGTAACTCGCTGTTTTAGTTATTCTTCTTCAAAATTTTTCTCGATACTCATATAAAATGAAACTCAGTCGGTCAATTGATTGAGTGTTATGAACATATCAACCATTTATATGCGTTGGTGACGTCTTTTGTAGCGTCTTAGCGTTTTTGATTGGGGGGGGGGATAGCTCAATTGGTCAATACGAGGGGGGAGGTTGCTCAATTGATCCAATTCGACCGTCTCGCCAACCAAAGGTATTGCTTGGTATTTTGATGATTTCCCTTTTCGGCGCTGAATCATAAAGTTTTTCTAAAAGCGTCTTTAGAGCTAAAATATATTATACTAGAAAGATAGCGCGCGCCAAAATGTTTTTTTTGGTCAAAATATTTCCCCAAAACGACTTTGGATTTCTTTCAGAAACTTACATATAAATGATCTAAAAATATTGAAAAAATTTTTTTGAAAATTTTAATGAAAACCCGATTCCCGCTTCGAGAAAACCCTGGATCCCCCCTCCCCCCTGATATAGTTAACCCCAATTGATGGCAATATCGGTGAGCTTGAGTTTTTGAGTTTATAATCGGTCAAAAAGTAAGTTTTAGCTTAGGTTATTTATAAATTTTTTGCATGATGCTTACGTTTCTGGAAAGAGTTAAAATTTATTTGCAACATCAAAATGAACAGTTTAAAAATGAATTAACTTTGTTGGATATTTGTTGATTGTAAAAAAACATTGCCAATAGTTTGGCATTAACTAGAGAAGGCTGCCTTTTATAATTAATGAAATATTTTTGTTGGCAATATAGCTTTTAGCAAATTTATTGATTCATGTATTAAGTTTTTGAAATAAATTTGGCCTTGAGAAAGTGAAATGGCGTTATAACTGCTATCGAATTTTCAAAACTGCGTTTGAACTGACAAAAGAGCAATGCAAAATGATTGCTAATTTCGGAGACTTTCAGTTTCGCCTTATGTCAAGAGCACACTTGCAAAAAACTTTTCATTCAACAACGATTTGCAATGCAAACTTTCAAAGCAAAAAAAAACACATAAAATGCCGATAAAAAAGCAAATGCCAGACTTCAAAGAAGTTTTTTGATTTAGCTTAAATTTGAAGGTCAGAATTATTTCAGAAATTTAAAACGTTGTCCGATAAATTTGTTAAAAGCTAAATCTTTTACTGTCCGCGAAGTAGAACGATAAATTAATTAACCTAAGACTGCTCATTTTGACGTCCCGGATCAGTTTTTCTTTCTTATCAACAAAAAAACTCTTTTTATAATTAGTAGCAAAAAGTTCGGACAGACAGAATTAATTAAAATGAGCAATCAGTGCTTTTCGACGCTTTTTTGCATGCAAAATATGAAGCCGAAGAACCTTGAATTTTTTGTCAGACCAAATTCAAAATGCGAGATTGTCGATTATCCGATGATTATGCTAGCCTAATTTTTAAATACTGCGCTGAACATCCAGATTTTACTATGGAACAGTTAGCAAAATTAGTTAAAAATTGAAATCTAGAGTTATTTTCTACTGCAAAAAAAAACAGATTAGGCCGCGCAAAAAAACTAAACGGAAGTTAAGATGATCAAATTATTCAAAACTTGGAAACCAATCGCAGAAAAACATTAGCCACCCTGAGCAATAATTTTCCTGTTTCAAGGTTTTTTATTCGACGCTTCGGATGCAATTGGCCGCGGATGTTATAGGTTTTGAGCGAAGCTCTGCTTTATAAACTTTCGACGTTATGTTTATTTCAGTTTTTATTTCCAATGATTTCTAGACAGTTGCTCTTTTTAACTAATTCTGTCTGTCCGAACTTTATGCAACTCTATAACTTTGAAAACAACGTTTCGTGATCGATTGTTTTAGGTGGAAGGTTTGAGTTATATAATTAGTAGCAAAAAGTTCGGACAGACAGAATTAATTGAAATGATCAATCAGTGCTTTTCGACGCTTTTTTGCATGCAAAATTTGAAGCCGAACAACCTTGAATTTTTTGTCAGACCAAATTCAAAATACAAGGTCGTCGATTCTCCGATGATTATACTAGCCTAATTTTTAAATTTTGCGATGAAATTCCAGATTTTACTTTAAAACAGTTAGCAAATTTAGTTTGAAAAATTTAAATCTACCGTTTATGATGTTTTAAAAGTCGAATATCAAGGAGTCATTTTCAAAAACTAAAAATTACAGATCAAACCGCCCAAAAAAAGCAAACGGAATTGAAGCTGATCAGATCATTCATAATTTGGAAACTAATTGCAGAAAAAGATTAGCCACTCTGAGCAAAATTTTTCCTGTTTCAAGGGTTACCATTCGAAGCTTCGAATGTAATTGCTCGTTGTGGTTATAGGTTTTGCGCGAAAGCTCTGCTCTATGAACTTTCGACGCTATATTTATTTCGATTTTGGTTTCCGTTGCTGTCTAGACAGTTGCTCTTTTTAATTAATTCTGTCTGTCCGAACTTTTTGAAACTCTCTATAGAGAGTTGCAAAAAGTTCGGACAGACATAATTAATTAAAAAGAGCAACTGTCTAGACATCAACGGAAATTAAAACTGAAATAAACATAAAGTCGAAAGTTCATAAAGCAGAGTTACGGGATCTACTTAACAATCCCCTTTCAAGAAAAGGGAGGAGATTGTTAATAAGATTACTTGCAGCGAGCTTTCGACCACACAGAATGCAGTAAATTTCGAATTTACGTACAATGCTCTCGAGCGAATTTACTGTTTTTATTTACAGGGGTGGAGATTCTTTAATAGATACAATAGAGGGGGGATATTTTTAAGTAGATCAAATTTTCGCTCAAAACCTATAACCACGACGGGCAATTGCATCTGAAGCGTCAAAATGTTTTATGGTAAAATCTGGACGTTCATCGCAGTATTTAAAAATTAGGCTAGCATAATCATCGGATAATGAACAATCTCGCATTTTGAATTGTCTGACAAAAAATTCAAGGTTGTTCGTCTTCAGATTTTGCATGCAAAAAAACGTCAAAAAGCACTGATTGCTCATTTTAATTAAGTCTATCTGTCCGGACTTTTTGCTACTAATTATATTTCAGAAATTTAGGACGTTGTCCAATAAAGTGCTGATTTAAAGTATCCGGACAAAATGAATAAAACGTGATTTTTCAAACACGTTTTTCTCAATTTGGGTTAAGATAATAAAAAAAGTAAAGAAAACAAAAATTGCTTAGAATTTCATCAGAATTAATAGCTTCAAAGTTCTCAACCAAAATTTTACCCCACAAATGAGTAATTTTGACTTTTTCAGACAATGGAGAATTACGCTGGAAGAACTTTGTTAATTGATGAGAAGCATATATCACAAGAAGCTTCTTTTACAGCCCAAGAAGGGTTAAATATCCAAAAGTTTGTGTAAAGTGTTCAAAATTTGTTTTAATTATAAGATTTTGGGTTTTATATAGTAAAAATCACGTTTCTTGAAAATCAAGCAAAAATGATTTCTCTTATACAGGTTTTTGGAGGTTTAACCCTTGCAGAATTTTGTAGGGCTGTGTAAGAAATTTCTTGTGATATAATTTTCTCATCAATTAACAAAGTAGTTTCAGCGTTATCTTGATTGTCTGAAAAAGTCAAAATGACCAATTTTGGGGTAAAATTTTGGTTGAGAATTTCGGCGACAAAATTGCACCATATTAATTCTGATGAACTTCTAAGCAACTTTTGTTCTGTTCACTTTTTGTCGTATCCTAACCCAATTTGAGAAAAACGTGTTTGAAATTTCAAATTTGTTGTTTTGTGCAGATAATTTAAATCAGCACTGTAAATTTGCTTAAAATATTAATGGACTTGCAATGACAGCGAAAATTGGACGTTGCCGTCAACACCATTGGAACCACAGTAATCCAATTCACCGCTGAGCTTAAGCATGTGCAATTATTTAACCATCTTTTGAAGCGCCCTAAGTTTCAGTAAAGCAGGTAAATGATTAACAAGACTCAAAAGCCTGAGCGAGAAGGTATAAAAAAGATCTTTTTAAATTCTGAGCTGGCATTTTTCTTATTTTCGAGTCTGTGTAATAACTATATAGCTTACGAGTGCATTTGGTCTCTGTGTAGGTGACTGTTTCCGCACAGATGCCAGATACAAGCACAGTGAACACTACAGAGTACGACTGGCCTGCATCCAATGCCCCGATTGTGTGGGGGACATCTGTCGCTGCAAGTGTGAAATCGTCGTCCATTGTGGAGTCGTTATACGAGACTTCAACTGAGTCGTAGCCGGTCAGGCTGGTTATTGTCAGAGCAGTCGTGTTCTCAGTTATAATTGTGACGATAGGGTCTGAGTTTTCTGTGAAAGAAAAACAAAGAAAAGTTAAGCCAACGAATTTCAGCTGAGATAAAATTAAGTCTCCAAAATAATTTTAACTGGGAGGGTGAAGAAAAAGATAGGACGATTATATATAAAACTAATTTCGATATGATTTTTTTCATAAAGAAGCGTTTGTTGCTGTTGCAAAGCTGCTGTTTTTTTGTTGACCTTATATGCATTGATTTTTTGAAAACTATTTTTACTTTACTTCTACTCATTTTTCGAGTGAGTAAGACCTAAAAAAGGACTTACTTGTGCATTTAGCTGGCATAGTCAACTCAAAAACTCTGGGACAGTCGCCTTCGATGGTGACAGATAGATTGAGAGTGTACTGGTTTCCAGGCAATAAACCCTCTAAGTCGAAGGGTAGCGGGGTGGTGATGTTGCGGTGGCTGATACCAGCGGAGTTCTCTGAGACGGTGGAGCTGAATGTAACGGCAGAAGGGACCTCTATGCTCTGGATGGTGAGAGATGTCGAGGTAGCAGAACTGTCATCAATTGTCACAACTGGGTCAGTGTGTTCTGAACAGTTCAGAGCAACATCTTATGAATCAAGGAGGGGCTTCCGTTTGCCTCATAGTTGTTGCATATGTTATATTTTATTAAATAGTTCTATAACTGGTTGAAACTAAATCTTAAACATTATAGGCGATTTCCCAAGTTCCCAAGTTAGTTCAGGCCTTCTCGCTACTCACAATTGATCTATCGAAGCTAAAATCGACTTAAAAAGGATAAAAGGAGTAGCTACGCGCTTGAATTATCTAAGTCAACTTTTTCTCGGTCAGAAAACTGTTTCTTAGCGGCGATATTGATTGATCATCAATCATCTGTGAACTTCTACTCACTTGTGCATTCCATTTGATGCCCTTGTAGAGTTTCAGGACAGGGAGAAGACACAGTGACATCGTAGGATATGTTATACTGGGTGCCAGCAGCCAAAGTGCTGATGGTGTGCGGGACACCTGTATTATCAAATGTGAAATCATTAGAGACCGTGCCTGGACGCACTGTTCCAGAGACGGTGTAAACAGCACCACTGGGTCCAAAGTTGACAGCGTCCACAGTTAGACTGGTGCCGGGAGCGTCCGCAGTTATAGACAGGGACAGCGGTGCTTTATCTGGCAAAAATTGAATGATATTGAAATAACCGACAAATATAGTCAATAAGGTCATTTAAAAAGTAATATACTTATAACTTGCTTATAACTTCTTTATATACTTATATACTTATATACTTATAACTTGCTTAAGTAATCCTCGTGAAAAGTATTTTTTCTCAAGTTGTTTTCTACGAAGTTTTTGTGGAGTCATCCGATAAGCTCACGCTGAAATATCCTTTTTTCTGAGTTGTTTTGGTTAACAAATGTGAAAAAAATTTAATGAGCTGATCGATTATTTTTAGCCAAGAATGATGCGTTTGTTACTTTCTAGCGAGCTTGATTGATTGATGTAAAACGATAATAAGCCAACCTGTGCATACAGTTTCAGAAAGAGTCGTGATCTCATCACAGTCCCCGCCTGACGAAACATCCATAGCCACTACATAGCTCTGTCCTGGCTCCAGACTCCCAATAACAAAAGGAATTTGAGCGGCCGATATTTCAGTTGGGTCACCCGAGTTCAAAGAATATATGACTGAGTGGACCACTTCTGTTATCTGGTCAATGCGAATTGCACTGTCGTTCAGCGCAGAGACAGTAGCAACTGGAGGGGTGTGTTCTGAAGTAACAGAAAACTAGGTCTAATTTCAGTCGTTCTTGTCTACGACATTTGAACTTTATTCTTTGCCGAACCTAATTTTGCCACATTTTCGACATGAATATGCCGCCAAATTAGTAAACTGAAAGACTCAAAACTCAAAAATCAAAAAGAAATCATTTAAAAAGAAATAACTAAACTACGATCTGAAATTGGAATCTTAATCATCCAAAACGTATTGCCATTGTCAGTTCTTAACAATACAATTGCATTTCTACGCTAGAAAAAAGATATAAGGAAAACAAGCACGAATAGAAGGCATGAGTTTTTCTGGGACTAGGAAAGATTTTTTCAGCCAAACTAAAGTTACGGTTAAAGAAACCTTATTATCTTTAAAACATGCTGTTGCTTTTCTAGGGGAAGTTCGAAACTTAACCCGAATGCTAAAAACTTTATTTTAGAAATAAACGTGCCATCAAAGAGAAAGCCAAAACCACCTTGGAAACCACGAGAGCAACTTATTCAGAGTTAATGGGCACGCCTCGAAGAAAATTTCGCCAAATAGCCCGAACGGCTTAGCGACAAATATGTGTCGAATCAGCGCTAGCTACTCTAAAAAACATTGCGATACCACTTCACATGAGGTGACTCTCTCAGTCAAGAAGGATTTTTTTCTAGTCCACGACTGTGGCCTTATGCGCTGACCGCATATTGATTTTCTCTACGGAAAAACGATAAGATGTATTGGAGAGCAACACAATTTGGCATGCTGATGGAATTTTCAAATCATGTCCCTTCAACCAATTATTAACAGCACGCGCTGTTGTAATTGATTTGTTTTCTTTCAAAAAGAAAAACTGATAGCTTTTGAGAAGCTGAAACAGCTAAATCCCTGCCTGGAGCCCGCCGAAAATCTTCGTGATCTTAAAAAGTTTCGACCAAGGTCTTTCTTTCAACCTTTGTGCCATCATTAAAGGCTGCTTTTTCCATTTTTGAAGAAAAATTGAGGAGCTCGGTGTAGCTCCCCTTTATAAACCCGATGAAACACGTCGGCTTCCAAGGAAATCGTTCATTGCGCTGGCACTTATCCCCAAATGTTATCTGGAGTTGGTGCTAAAATACCTGAACGATATTTTGGGCGAAAAACCTCATTCTATATGTGGAAAGTCATTCTATGTGTGGATAGAAAATCATTCTATATGTGGAAAGTTTGAAATTATATGGATTGGGTCAAATGTTCCGCACTAAACGCCAATCATTTTTCTTCCCGTAGATCTTTGGAGTCAAAGACAGCGGTAGAAGGAGAAGGCATCAAAGACAGAGAAATGCAAAAAATGTAGTTAGGATTGTCTGAAGTTATTAAAAAAACTATGAGAACAATTGAGTTAGTAATATACAATAGGAGCAAGCGTTTAACTTTGATTTCTAAGTTTTTATTTCATTTTGTGTAAATTAAGCTATCAGTTGTTTCTTTCAATTTTTCACCATCAAACCAAAAATTGACACGAATCGTCGCTTGTTATGAATCGTCGGTTGTTACGAATTGTCTCCTAACCTAAGAGAAGAGCTGATTAACCTTTTTTTTTCAGCGAACCAAGTCCCTGATGCACAAGATTTATAGTTTTTTACTGCTCCGTCTGGGCTTAGAATTGTAGCCTCACCCTCAGGGAACAACCCTATAGCCATTGCTTGCTAGTTAAACATAATTGAAAGTTTAATCAAAAGATAAAATTCTCAAAAAAAACTAATTTTTGGAGATGGCCTCTGCTGCACTTTTTTTCAGCATACTGAAGCTCGCTGACAAAAGGTTTACACATTTCTATCAAAACATAGGCATGCGATCTAATTATTGCAATGTTTTGTTGAGAATTAAATGGCTTTCTGATTGGTGAGTAGTGGTGAAGTGACTAAGTCTCTTTTTGACAATCGAATGAAGGTATGATGTTCGAGACCCACCATGATTCGTGATAGATGCATGAGTCAGGATGCAACATTATCCAGCCAGAAAAATAACCACAAAAATGCGTGTACTCAACTAGCTTATGGTATTGAAATCTAGTTGAACTAAAAAATTAGTTCTGCATAATAACGCGATTTATCTACAACTATGCAATAACACATTCAAAACCCTACCTGTGCATGTCGGATCCGTAGTCCCGGAAACGGTCTGCGGGCAATTGGCCGCGTCACTGTATTGGACCACGTATGCGAGTGTGTACTGAGTTCCCGGGGCCAGCCCACCAATAGTAATTGGAACACTCGCAACACCATCTGCAGCCGCAGAAGTCTCATTGCCATTGGTCGATGCGGGGTTCGAACTTGTTACTATTGAATTGTATGCGCCAGTGAATGTACTCAGGGTCACCGTCAGGCTGTCTTGACCGTCCACTACCACCGCCCAATTGGGGGGAGTGTGGTCTAAAAATAGAGACTACTTGCTACTACCTCTCATCTGTTGGCAATTGTGAGTCAAAGTTTTTATAATGATTTTCAAAAATATTTTGCAGCCAAGACGGTCATTGGCAATTTAAATTTTGCATTTTTCAGTTTTGCTTTTGGGTAAATTTAGTAGATCTTTTTCTCCGGCCATTCTATGAATAAATGATTAAAAAGTTTAAGTCTGTATAGACTGAAACATTCAAAAGACTGTCACATTGAAAACAGTTATAACAAAAAAAACTTGTTTTCCATCTTTGAGTCAATGATGATTTGAAGTACTTATTAGCGCAAGCCTTCTCAAGCTGAATTAAAAAAAGATACTTTGAAGGAGGGAAAATAAAGGATACTTTATTATAGTTTTTAATGTCTTTTATTCAGTTTCTATGCAATATCATTGGTACAATCTTTAAATATTAGCTGATCGCATTTTGACGTCGAGTTGTATTCGAAGTTTTTCGCTTCCTATGAAACAATTACAGACCAATTAATCTTACCAAGACATTTCGTATTAAAGCAAAATTTTGAACGTTCCGACTGGCCAAGATTTTTGATTTGAAGAAGTTTTATTAGCATACTTTTCTCATTTTCTAATTTTCTCATTTTTCCTTGATTTTCCAAGCTCTTATGGAGTTGTGATTCGCGTTTATTTGAATTTTTGAAGTCAAACAATTTGTTTCCTATCAATTATTTAATGATTTTAACTTTTGTTATTATTTTTTTAAAAGTTAATTCTTTCTCCCTTATTAAGTGATCGGAACGGAAATAATCATTTTAAAAAAATTATTGGTATTTTGTTTGCATCAGCTGTCCTACTATTTTAAGTCGTTTCATTAGCAGTTTAATTTCCATCTGAAAACTAAGAACACTAACAACCGGTGGTAGGAGAAAAGTATTCTTAGGAGTTTGCTTCTATACTAACCGGTGCAAAATATTTTTGTGTCCGAAGTTGTTTCAACACAAGGCATTGGTGTCGTTACCTCCACAGTGAGTGTATACTGTGTGCCACTATCCAGCCCAGTTATTTCATAAGGTAGATCACTGGACGTTAAGTCCGCGAAAGGGCCCACAGTTGGCGGAGTCACAGTGACAGAGAAAGAGTCCATTGGCACGCCAGTGATGTTGACTTGAACTGCGCTGCGACCATAGTCGTAGGAAAAAGTCGGCTGGCCATGGTCTGAAGAATAGAATTATAATTTCATCGGATGTCTTGCTTATATGCTGGTGAAAGGGCTGAGATTTATCAAAGAATTTGACTTCTAGTGAACAAAAAACAATTGCGGTGGACCCAAAATTTAAAATCGCTTCGGATGCCAAAGAAGACTCAAAAGTTGCACATGTCAAAAATATTAGAACTCCTTAAAATTATATTTTTTAAATCAAATTATTTGAAATGGTTCTTACAAAATTTTTAAAAAACTTATCATCAATAGCCAGAGAACAAATCTACAAAAAACTCACAAATAGGGGGGCAGAGATTTTCAAACTTAGCAAGTTCACAAAGTTTGTCCGTTTTTTAAGTAAGCGAAATGGGACAGAAATGATATCATAAAATAAGACCAAAGGGTTTTACTGAGAGGTGTCGATTTATAAGACGAACTAAAATGGCCAGAAAATGGACTTCAAGCAATCTCGAGAACATTTTAATTAATCGTACAAAAAATTACCCTAAAAGGTTTGAGTTTATGTCCGGCGTGCTCACTCTTTGAGGAATTTCAGATAAGGTACACCGTCTGTTCGTCACGCTATCTTATTTTCGGCCGGACAGATTCGTGCAACTTCTTAGTCTAATACCAATCTTAATCCTACTCTTATATCTCCCAGTCTCAATAGATTTAGTGTATACCGGTATTTGCGAGTTACATATCAGGAACTATCTTGAAGCGTTGAAGGAGAACAACTGTCTTCTAATTTATAGTTAATTTGTTCTGTTGCTGAAGCTATGAATAGTTTCAGCGTTACAAAAAATTGTAAGTGTTAGTTACGGATCATGATTGGTTAGTTAAAATTTTTTATAGAGAGTTCTATCAATGAGATAATTGGATACAAATACTAGTTTTAGACTCATTCCACCCATTCGCGCTTAGATTGTTTTAAGTTTTAATGTTTATTACAGTGAAGGGATATATGGAGAGATTTCTAGGTTTTTTTTGAAGCTGTGACTGCGTGAAATAAGAAGACACATTGGTTCATGTTTTGGATTAGATGTCTTCATAGAGAGAAGGGGGACAGTTGTTCGTGTTTCAAAATTGGGTCTCGTATATCCTAGATCGTCTTGAGTGATCATGACAAAATTCCTTCCAACAAGGTTAAAAGAAAGTTTAAAACGTGCGAAAACTAGTAAGAGTTTTTATCAGTTAGTTTCTGAAACAGAATTCATTTTTTAAACAATTCTTTTTGGGCAAATTGCTTAATTTTGGTGGAAAAAGTGTGTGAAATTTGGGCAAGTAAAGAGAAATAGCATCATAAAAGAAGCACACAGTCATTTTTCAAAATTTGAATTTGAAATTGCTTTATTAATTTTACTACTTCATATTTGAATTTTATTACAGAATTATCATTTTTTTTGCAATATGTGTTAAATTTACTTCGCTAAGATTACTTGTTGACATAGTTAAGATAAAAGTTCAAAATTGAAGAAGATTTTTTTTACTTTTTGTTTTTATCTTTAGATGAGTTCCTGGTGAAAGTAAAAAAAGAAATGTGAAACACACTTGCAGGATTGGTGATTATCTTATTGATTTGTTTTAGTGATAATAATAATTTTTACAATTATGAGGGGTCAAGTTCAGGGAAAAATCAAGGGGCAAGTTAGTTTTAAAGGTATCGGATGTTAGTAAAAGCTTAGCAAGCATGCGTGTTACGTTTTTATTGCAAAGCAGTGGCCAAAGAAGTTCAAATACTCTGATGATATCTACTTCTTCGGTGGTAGCTGAATTTTCATTGTTAGTTTTCTGAACAAGGTTATAAAGTTTGTGATTAATTTTAGTAGAGTGGATATTTTATAGTAGGGCTTCTTCAATTGGCTGTATATATACTTGGGGAAGGATGATGGGTTGTGCGTCTTCTAGTGGGAAGGCGTTAGTCAGTGGGCAAAAATTGTACATCTGTCGAAATGGATCGTGATTTCTGAGGATGCCAAGCAAATTAATTGATTTGATGCAGTATGTGAAGTTTAAGAAATAGGTTGATATGTATTTTGAGTTTATGAACACAAAACGATGGTCTGGATTACGGGATAGTGAACTGTATATGTTTTGTCTTTGTATGAATTTATAATATTTGTAGGTGTGGGTTGTTTTTGTTTTTAATACGATTTCGTGTGAACAGTACATATCTCTTTCCTTCGGTGTGAGGAAGTTAAATGTTAGTGCGAAGTAATTGAATTTGAAAGAACGGTTCATAGGCTTTAGTGTTTTAGTGCGTGATCTATGATATGGTCTAATTTTTTGTTAGTGCTATCAAGATATAATATGAAAAAATTTTCAGTTAGTTGAGTGTTAATGTGTGGATCATCGTCATACGGGTAGTCATCAATATACCTGGTGACAGCGTGGTTATAATGATTATTGGAAAATTGGTTTGCTTTGGGTGCTATGAATATGTTTAAACCTATAGTGGTGAATTGATTTTCGTGCAGAGCGGTAGTTAGGTGGCGAATGATGGTATCACAAAGTTGGTTCTAGGCGGGGTTGTTTTTCAAGGGAGTTTTCAGTGGTTTAGTAAAGTTGTAACAGGAGCTCCAGGATAGTGTAGGGAGTAAGGTATCATCGACGTGTGGTGTATGTGGATTTCCATTTGCGGAATTTTAGTAATTATTTTAAGTTTCGAATTAGAAAATTTGGAGTATTAGTGTGTTGAGGATGATAGCAAAATATTCGGGATGATCTTGGGCGCTTAATAAGGAATTGAGGTGTAGTGTTAGGGTGTTTGCGTTCCATGAAGAGTTTTTGGGCTCGTGTGGGTGCAAAGTGAACTGGGGGATTGGAGGATTCGGAAGTTGAAGCTGAATGGTTCAGTTGGTGAAATGTTAATGAGTTTTTTGTGTCGTGAAATTGTTGTTGTTTTGTTATAAAGTTATCTAAATCAAGCTGAAGTTTATCTTCCATCTAGGGCAATTTATCTTCCATCTGCTTGCATCGGGTTCATTACTTGACAGAAGGGAGAGAATAGGCGTAGCGTCAGTGAGTGAGGAGGGAGAGGGATATGGTTCATCCGGGATGGGGAGAGGCCGGAAAGGTGGTTGAGAAACATTAGTAGGGCTAGGTCTGAGTGAATGAGTTCGTCGGGAGTTTCTACATCTGAGTTATTAAAATTGGAGATGGTTTTAGAAACTGTTTGCGTTGAGTCGTCTGAATCCATACGTGGTGAGTTAGAGGAAAAACTGGGTAGGGGAGAAGAGGTGAGGTCTGAAAGTGAACTGCGGGAGGATTGGCGTTAGAAGTTAGATGGAAAGGTTGTTGGACTGTTATGTGAGATATTGGGCTTTGTTGTGAAGTACTAGTTTGTAGTTTGCGTTCGGCGATCGGAAGTATGTGTCTATAATTTTGTGGGATTAAAAATAAAGGGTGATTGTTATGTAATTTGTGGTCCTGTAAGTGTTCTACTTGGGTTATCTTGTGGGATATCATACATATTTGGTTTTGTAGATAATTTTTGTTTTAGATTCGCTAAATTGAGCGTCTAGAAAAATTTTTAATAATTGAGGTGGAAATAATTCCAAGAAACCCTGCAAAAAAAACGTGCAAAGCTTGCCTGTCTATTGACCTGTGTATGTATTGAGCATGTATTATTGATGCCTTCTAGGAGTGAAAAAAGAAACCCAATAAAATAAAACATTGCGTGTAGTATAGTCATCCTTTTTTAAAATATAGTAGGGCCATCCTTAGGTTCCGTGTAGTATAGTCATCCTTTTTAAATATATAGTAGGGCCATCCTTAGAGTTCGTTTTTGATATTTATGAAACTGAAAATGATAACTGGTGAAATGTCCTGTGGACGATATTTTTCTCCATTGAGATATTTATAGTCCTTAATAACTTTGAACTATCCACTAGAATTTTGTCGGTAGATGTCGCAGAAACCTGCTGTTTCATCAAATTTTCGCAAGTTTCGCAATTGATTGTCTTTGAAATGTAACCGTTTTGGTGGAGTTCTTGAAAATGTGATGATGTATGTCGGATTCAGAGAAAATTCCTATTGATTGTAGGTCTTCATTTGGATTTCGAGCGAGTGCGTGTATGCTTTTAGGTGAAAGTTTCTTTAGAGAAGCCATTAATGCAGACTATGGGGTTAAAAGTTAATATTTAGCTTCATTTGGGCTAAGTTATACTACATTGTGGCTGCTTTTGGATCCACATGGGACATTTGTATCTCAAAACTAGGTTCAGCGTGAACGTGTATCTACAAAAGGTACTTTGTTTTTATCAAATAAAGTTTTGCATTGGTAGCATCTTTTATCTTCAAAAAGATAAAGTGGTGAGATTTTCTTTGTGCAAGTATACTTACAAAGAAAGTTTCCTTCATAGTCATTGAAGTGAGAGCGATTACCGGATACGATTTATCCTGCGTAGGATGTGTAAGATTTTATGTACTGCTAGGGCGAGAGATTGTAGCGTTTGTGTTCGATCTAATCACATAGGTGACGGAGTATTCGGAGGATGACATTTATTGAAAAATTCTACTTATTGTATAATATATTTTCATTTCGAGATGAACATCGTAGTGGAATATGCCAGAACAGGTGTTATTCATGTCAAAACTTTTGTCGTAACCGACAAGAATTTCTGAATATTGTGGTTTGAAAAGTTGTTTGTGATGCTTACATGCAACTTCCGTTTCAGGGTAACTTTGAAAACGTTTTAATCTTTTTTTAATACCATCTGTAAGTGTTACATTTATGTTGGTTTGATCTAATTCGATAAGGGTTGGTTTTGTCGAAATGTATTTTCTGAATACTTTTTTTTTGAAAATTGATTATTCTTTAGTGAATTTTAGCGACTTGAAATTTGGTATATATGTCTTCAGGGAACCAGAGTATGGTTGCTTGGGTTTATGTAGTGGTATCGCAATATTCTTGATCGTTTTTACAAAGCAAGCGGATTCCTTGATACATTATGGTATCATCCTTTAATTCTCGTGTTAATTGTACTTTTTCTAATTGAATTTTTCAATTAAA